CAGCTCACACTCTTACCCTCTGGGCCAACCCCGGGGGGGGGGGGTTTAAATTCCCTCAAGACTAAAATAGTGTTCTCTGAGCAAGCACAGAGAACAGACTTACCTCAGGTAGTTGGCACAGCCAGGAAAGCCTTGCCGGGTCTGATGGCAGCAGCGCAGCCCAGGAGCCCCACCAGCAGCTGTTCCAACCCAGCCACTGTGGCGGAGGATGCCAGCTGCTGCTCTGGGCCTGGTTGCAGCAGAGGAGCAGTGGGCTCAGCAGCGGGGGCAGAGGATACTGGTGGCTGCTCCAACCCAGATGCTGAGCATGCTGGCTGCTGCTCCAGGTCCAACTGCGCCAGCATAGAACTGGTGCTCCAACAGCATAGGCTGTTGCTCCAGGCATGGCCATAGTGGCGGAGCATGCCAGCCATTACTTTGGGCCTGGAGCAGCAGCCAGTGTCCTGCACTGCTACTGCTGGGCCCACCGCAGCGGGGCTGGAGCAGCTCCTGGCATGTTTCTCTGCTGCTGCCAGGCCTGGAGCAGTAGCCAGCATCAGTGGATTCTTCCTCCATGAGTATTCCGGGTTCCCGCTTGTTTATATGTAGTGATTTCCCCCATGAACCTTATCCCAATTTATTGACTTCAGTAAAGATGTGGGCGCCACATACTCAGCTCTGCATACAGCAGGGGAGTGAAACGGCTGATAATCAGCTACATAGTGCACATCCGTGTATTTTTTTGTCCTCTTTATTTGATTTTTCTCTCTTTATTTAAACTGGTGCTCCTCCTTGTTCAACAGTGTGGATGAATGGGCTCATCGGTCAAGCAAATTCGTGGAGAGAAAAAGCCAGCATAACAGTAACCAGCGCTGTCATCCAAGGGCCTAATGAAGCTGTGGAATAGGAACAAGGTTATTACATGGTAGGTTTGTATGTTTAAAGAAGTTCATGGAAGTGATCTGTAAGGGTCCACTTGCTTTTTTATTCACTCAGCCATGAATAACAGCAGCCTTCTTCTGGATGCTCTGGTTATATGATAGATGTGACCCAAGTTGTGTCGGGGATGCCCCGGCCTGGCTTGCAGTCATGTGTACCATTGGGGGCTCACCTTACAAACTCCTTTGATGCTTGGGTATGGCTTCTGCCTTCCCTCCCGCAACATTTTCTCTAGTGGAAACAGACATGGGATGCTGTTTCTTAGGCTCCATATGTTCTGGGATTGTGTGACTGAGGACATGTAGAGCTTGAGAAACGGGCAAATAGCCACCCTCGCAGCTATTTCTGCTAGGGAAAGCTATGGGAGACAAGGCAGAAGCCCCCCCCCCAAGGGATGCAGTCGTTTGTACAGTGAGCCCCTCAATAGTGCATGTGACTGCAAGTCAGGTTGAGTGTCCCCCCCACAAACCCTACTTGAATCACATATCTATTATATAACTTGGTCTCTGAGGCATAGTTAAGTATGTGCAAAACAAGACATGTTATCTCTGCTCCTGGAGGAAACAACCCTTCTGCTCCCATTAATTGTGGCTCCATCCTCTTTGTGGGCATCACTGAAGGGCGGTTCCCGGGGGCTCTCAAGGAAGCGATGGTCCGCCCCCTCCTGAAGAAACCATCTCTGGCTGAATTGGCAAACTATCGGCCGCTTTCCAATTTGCCCTATTTGGGCAAATTAATAGAGAGGGTGGTGGCGATACGGTTGCAGAGCTTTATGGATGACACTTCCATGCTTGATCCCTTCCAGTCCGGCTTCCGTCCAGGCCATGGGACGGAGACAGCTCTGGACGCCCTCACAGATGACTTCCAGAGGCACCTGGACCGGGTCGGGACAGCAGTGCTGATGTTGTTAAACCTGTCGGTGGCATTCGACACGGTCGACCACCAGTTACTTGCCCACTGCCTCGCAGACACAGGGATTCGGGGGCTTGCCCTGCAATGGCTCATCTCCTTCCTCCAAGATCGTGGACAAAGGGTGGCTATCGGGGAGCAGCTGTCCCGAAGGCATCCACTTGCTTGTAGAGTGCCTCAAGAGGTGGTGCTCTCACCGATGTTATTTAACATCTATATGTGCCCCCTTGCCCAGATTGCCCGGAGATACGGGCTAGGGTGCCACCAATATGCAGATGACACTCAGCTCTATCTGCTGTTCGGCGGTCAGTGACTCCAACCCAGAAGACCTGGTTCGGGGGCTACAGGACATGGCGGGATAGCTTAGACTGAGCCGATTGAAATTGAATCCAACAAAGATGGAGCTCCTGTGCCTGAATCGGAGCGATACAGGGGTAGGGATCCCATTACTGGCCTACGATGGGGTGCCGAGGGTCCAGAGTCTGGGAGTGCTCCTGGATGCTTCCTTAACAATGGAGGCCTAGGTAGCAGCCACTGCCAAGGCAGCCTTTTACCATCTCCAGCTGATCGGGCAGTTGGTTCCCTTCCTTGAACGCCATGATTTGGCAGCAGTGATCCATGCAATGGTCACCTCAAGATTGGACTACTGTAATGCTCTCTACATGGAGCTGCCCTTGGTGCAACTCCAGAACCTGCAGCTGGTGCAAAATGTGACGGCCAGGCTGTTGATGGGTCTCACTATGTGGGAGCACATCCAGCTTGTGCTAAAGGCATTGCACTGGCTGCCAATAGCGTTGTGGATTTGCTTCAAGGTGCTGTTTTTTACTTTTAAAGCCCTTTATGATCAGGGGCCTGCCTACCTGAGGGACTGCCTCTCCCCGCATGTTCCCCAGAGAGCACTTTGATTAGGACTCCAAAACCGCCTGGCCCTCCCTAGTCCAAAGGAAGCCAGATTGACATTGACTAGGACCAGGGCGTTTTCTTTAGTAGCGCCAGCTTACTGGAATGAGCTCCCTGGTGAGATCAGGGCCCTGTGGGACCTCTCACAGTTCCGCAGGGCCATGAAAATGAAGCTTTTCCTGCAGGCCTTCCGATAACCTCTGGGCTGACCTAGAGCTGAAGCTTTCCAGAGCAGTAGTACAGTTGACAGCATGTGAACGCACTTTACTCAGCGAACCACCATAGATAACAGGGAGGGTGGGGTAAAACTCGAAATAATAAATAAATAAATAAATCTATGTAGTCCTGGAAAAAAGCCACCAAGTCTCCAGAATTGCAGAGAGAGAGAGAGAGAGAGAGAGAGAGAGATTTATGTGAATGTTATAGGGAGCAGCTGCATAATCAGTCTTGTCTTTATGTATCTATGATAAAGTCAAGACCAATCACGATCCCTATAATACTCCCATGTGCACTTTCTCTTTCCTCAGTGCCAGAGATTTGGAGAGTCTAGGGCCCTATGCCTTACTTTCTGCCTAAAATGGATGGCCGGAGCTGAAGTCCACCTTGTGCTGTTCACCTGGGCAAAATAGACAGCAGTCAGGGCGGCTGTCTGTCAGTGGGATCTTTGCCTCTCAGCAACAACAACATTTGAAGACTGTCTTCCCTGTCACAGCCACCTGAATGCCTCAAAGGAAGGAAGGAACTGTATACAATCGAGTAACAATAAGAAAAACTATTTACAAACGACTATAAAGAAAATTCTGTCTGACAGAAGGCATGTATTTTTTTAGGACTTCTCATTGGTGATGCTTAAGACACTTCTTCCCATCTTATATATAATTGAGTAGTGGGGTGGCACTTTCTGAACATTCCACACACTCCGAAATCAGTTGGCTCCATGATGTGTCACTCAGAAGCTGTCCCTGTCCACTGGCTGCATTGCCTGAGTCCCGCCCACAGAAGCGGCACCCGCCAAAACTTTCCTCAGAAGACGGTTGCTTCAGTCCGGTGAACACAGCCTCTGCTCCTCTTCCCTGCCCACTCCCCCTTCAGCCACTGTTCCCTGTCAGAATTACGGGCAAACGGCTGTGTCTCCCAACGAAGACACTTCTCCACTTGGCTCCTCTGTGGGACTAACTTTTCCCTCAGTGGCTATGGCTAGGCAACCAAGCCTGGTTCTGTCAGTAAAAAGACAAATAAAGGAAACTCTTTCCAGGCCTTTGTGAGGAACTCATTGGGACCCATCCTGACTAGGGTTGTCAGCTCTAGGTTGGGAAATTCCTGGATATTCTGTGTCTAAGAAAGCCAGGGTTTGGGGAGGGGAGAGGCCTCAGCTGAACAGAATGCCATAGAGCCCACCCTCTAAAGCAGTTATTTTCTCCGGGGGGGGGGGGGGGATCTGTTGTCTAGAGTTCAGTTGTGATACCAGGTGATACCAGACGACAGAGATCAGTTCCCCTGGAGAAAATGGCTGCTTTGGAGGGTAGACCCTATGGCATTATATCCTGATGAGTCCTTCTGCCCCCGCCTCCCAATGCTACCCCCCACAGGATCCACCCCCCAAATCTCCAGGTATTTCCCTACTCAGAGCTGGCAATCCTACTTTCCCCTCAGTGCCTGCTGCTAGGCAACCAAGCTTGGTTCTGTCAGTAAAAGGCCCTTTCCACACCTATTTTGGCCTTTAGGAGAAAACTCATTGGGGCCAGTCCTAACTAGGGTTGCCGGGTCCAGGTAGGGAAATACCTGGAGATTTCATAGTAGAGTTTATAGAAGCCACGGTGTAGGGAGGGGAAAGGCCTCAGCTGAACAGAATGCCATAAAGCCCACCTTCCGAAGCAGTTATTTTCTTGGGGGGGGGGAGATCAGTTCAGTCTGGAGTTCAGTTGTGACACCTGGAGATCTTCAGGCTCCACCTGGAGATTGGCTACCCTAGGCATAGCAGTCAGCGCTTCAGAGCAGTGTCTGCTAGACCCAGGTTCTTGCTGTGGCAGCTGACTGGGTGATTTTGGACTAGTCACAGACTTTCCTACCTCACAGGGTTGTTGTGCAAGTCAAAAGGGGGAGAGGAGAATGATATAAGCTGCTTTGGTCCCCATTGCAAAGAAAGACTACTTTTCCTCCTGGGGAACCATTGTTGCCAATCTCCAGGTGAGGGCTGGAGATCACTCAGAATAACAACTGCTGCCCAGATGGCAGAAAATGGTGGACTCTGTGTCCTTATACTCTGTTGAGATGGCCCCCTATGACAGCCGATGTGATGTAGCAGTCAGGGCTTCAGAGCACAGTAGAGGCTGCAGGTGTGGGGGGGAAATAGAAAGCTGAACAGTGAGGGGGAAATAAAGGTGGGTTGATGATTGGCTGGGAAGGAGATAGGGTTGCCAACTCCAGGTGGGAAATTCCTGGAGATTTGAGGGATGGATCCTGGAGAGGGTGAGGTTTTAGGAGGGGTGGGACCTCAGACAGGTACAATGCCCTCCAAACCAGCCATTTCCTCCTGGGGAGCCATTGTTGCCAATCTCCAGGTGGGGGCTGTAGATCACTCAGAATTACAACTGCTCTCCTGGTAGGGAGGGGGGAGGAGCCGGAAAGCTAAAGTCAGAGGGGCAGATAACGGTAGGGTGATGGTTAGCTGGGAAGGGGATGGGGTTGCCAACTCCAGGTGGGAAATTCCTGGAGATTTGAGGGATGGATCCTGGAGAGGGTGAGGTTTTAGGAGGGGTGGGACCTCAGACAGGTCCACTGCCATGCCCCCCACCCTCCAAACCAGCCATTATCTCCTGGGGAACCATTGTTGCCAATCTCCAGGTGAGGGCTGGAGATCACTCAGAATTACAACTACTCTCCAGGAGGGAGGGGGAAGGAGCCGGAAAGCTAAAGTCAGAGGGGCAGATAACGGTAGGGTGATGGTTAGCTGGGAAGGGGATGGGGTTGCCAACTCCAGGTGGGAAATTCCTGGAGATTTGAGGGATGGATCCTGGAGAGGGTGAGGTTTTAGGAGGGGTGGGACCTCAGACAGGTATAATGCCATAGACTCTACCATCCAAACCAGCCATTTCCTCCTGGGTAACAATTGTTGCCAATATCCAGGTGAGGGCTACAGATCACTCACAATTACAACTGCTCTTCAGGTAGCAGAGATCAGTTCCTCTGGAGAAAATGGTGGACTCTGTGTCATTATACCCTGCTGAGGTCAGCACAGCAAATTGACGCTGAGTGCCCAAGGCTGGGGCACCCTCCCAGAGCCTATTTCTAGAGCTCATTTATTTCCACAACAGGTCTTATTCCTAGTAGCTAATAAAAGTGAAGCAGACATATCCTTCTTTGTATCCTGTCAGACTAAAGAAAAAACGGCCTCCCTAAGCACACACTTGCTATCTAAAACTGAGCTAAATCTACTTGGCTTTATTTTTGTTTAGGTCTAAACACTAGGTTTAGAATGTATCTAACAATATTTTTTTACCCTATTCTTCTAAAGAATTCATGGTAGCCTACATTGTTCTTCCCACCCCCATTTATATCCTCACAAGGGCCAGTGAGATAGGGGAGGCTCAGAGGGTAGCTGGCCCAGCTTCACCTTAGAAGCTTAAGGAAGAGTGGATGTTGAACTTCTCAGTTTATGAAGATGCCTTAGACAGAGTCCAACCATCAGTCCCTCAATCCTTCTGGGAAGGCCCAGTTGGGGAGAGCTCTTCCATGTTCCCATAGCCAATGAAAGGACTGTGCTGGCAGCACAGAGACCTTGACATTTAAGCTCCCTGGATTACTTTGGAACAGTCACTCTCTCTTAGCCTTACCTACTTTGCAGGGTCATTGTGAGGATAAAATAAGGATCCAAAGAACCACAGTATGGTAAGTGTCATACAGTATCTATCTAATGTTATCCTGCAATTAAAGGCAGGTTGCTAAAAGTTCTACAGCATTAAGTACAAGAAACCAAATAAAATTACTTACCATGAGATGAGGCAGCTCCAGCAACATCTTCAGAATCTGCATAGTGTAGGAGAAAGAGTAACAAGAGAGTTCAGTGGGGTCATTTGGACATAATGCACTTTCCTGCATTCATCAAATAAAATAATGCTTTCCCACTATCCTTTCTTTTCTTGCTCCTGCCACTCCTTGTAATTAAGTAGATTCTTCTGATACATGAAAAAAAGACAGGGATGCAGCCCATCTGCAGCCTAAAACATCTGCTTTCACAAGCCCCACCAGGGCTATATTATACACTTGTAATGTATTCATCACTGACCCCATGCGCGACTAGGTCGCCATGCGGTCGGGTGAAGCAGCCAAGCTTCGGTTATGAGAACAAAGGGTCAAGCGGATCCTAGCCCGCACCTATCGGAGGGCTAAGCTCCCAGCCGAGAGCCTATGGAACTCTCAACCACTGTAAAATAGCCAATCACGGGTGTGGGGGTGTGTTTAGGGTATAGAACTGGAGCACATATAAACCGGCCTGCGAGCCGGTGAAGGTTGTCTTGTTCTGAACTAAGTAAAGGTATGTTGAGCTGAAATCACACTCGGTCTGCGTACTTTTCACAGGTGACGAAGGTGGGATTCATCTCCCCTTGAACAGAGACCACGTTCTAGGCATTGCTTTGAGTCGTCGCGCCGAAATCGCCACCGCTGCCAGCATCATGCGCATCTTCGAAAGCACCGCTCATTGCACCGCTCCCAGCTCCGAGCATTGCACCACTGATCACGAGAGCAGCACCGCACCGCTCCTTCTCTACGCTCGCTAGTTCCCGCCATTCCTGCCATTCACTTCCTCGTGGATCCTAAGATGGTGGCCGCACCCGAGAGTCTCCCTGCTTTCGATATCGCCCAACCCTCACAGTGGGAAACCTGGCTGGAGACTCTTGAGAGCCACTTCACAATCCACAATGTAACGGACCCTGGTATGAAGAAGGCGTACCTTCTCCGCCACTGCGGGATGGAGGCCCATCTCATGCTGAAGGACTTAATAGCGCCTAAACTGACCGAAGACGAGTCTTACAACTCTTTGGTCAAGACGCTGACCGACCACCTGGCTCCCAAACCTATTAAGTTTGTGGAGCACATGGACTTTTTTGCGAAAATCCAAGGCCCCGACGAGACCGCCTCCAATTTCCTGGCCGCTCTCCGTCAGGCCACCACCAGGTGTTCCTTCACCGACCTAGTGGAAGTTCTCCTAAACCAGTTCCTCGTGGGACTAAGGGAGCCTAAGCTCCAGTGGAGACGGGTCAGCCAGGACGACCTGGATCTCGATAAGGCAATCCGGGAGGCCACCGCTTATGAGAAGTCCCACCAAGACCGCTGCGTCAAGGCGGTCCACCGCACGCAAGCTACAGTCGGCTCCACCGCCTCAGACGAGGAAGTGGTGCTACAGGTCTGCCATCGATCCATTCAGCGCCCGTAGCAGGCATCCTTCAACGCGGACAGGGTGTCTTCGATCACCTCGGCTCCGTGTGCTAGCTGCAGAGAGGACCATGAGCGCCGGTCGTGCCACTTCCAAAACGCCGTCTGCAGAATGTGCAACAAATCAGGGCACATCTCGCGGGTTTGCCACTCCAAGGGCCAACGCCAGAAGTTGTCTGCCCACCAGACCACGCCAGAGCCACCCATCGACCTCCGCACCCTATTGGCCCAACACCAGCAAAACCTGGTATGTAACTTGCCCCCCGATGGGCCCAACAAGGTGCACGTCACGGTCCTTATAGAGGGGTCCCCCTGCAGCATGGAGATCGACACAGGGTCGACCTATTCCTTTATCTCCGCGGATACGCTCTGCAAGCTGTGTCCCCGGGAGGGGGCCTTAAGAAGCCGTGGAGTTTCATGTTATGGGACTTCAATAAAAACCCCGTGGCGATACTGGGCTGGGGCAAGTTCCAGGTGCAGTTCCAAGACTTTAACGGCCCCTTAGACCTGCTGGTGGTGGATAGGCAACTCTCCAGCCTGCTGGGACTCTCCTGGTTCGGGCCTCTGGGACTGTCTTTGGCGGGGATCAACCAGATCCAGTCACAGGATTTTGGCAAGGTGTGCGCGGAATTTCCTAGAGTTTTCTATGGCACCCTAGGGCGGTTTACAGGGGGCCCCATTTCCCTGGACCTTGACCAAGCTGTCTGCCCTATCCACATCAAGGCCAAGCTACCGCTGCTGGCAATGAAGCCTAAGATTGAGGCGGAGCTAGATCGCCTGGTGGAACAAGGGGTTCTGGAACCAATCGCATCTGCCCAGTGGGAAACCCCCATTGTCACCCTGGTTAAGTTGAATGGGGATGTGCGCATTTCTAGACAACGTGCCGATCGCAGCCCCGGACAGCTTATCTTTTGCCGACCGCCTGCAGGCTGTCCTACAACGCTTTGACGCAGCCGGGCTCAAGGTCAAGCAGGAAAAATGTCTCCTGGGGATCCCTCGCATCGAGTTCCTGGGCTTCACGGTCAACGCCTCCGGCATCCACCCCACCGCTGACAAGGTGCAAGTCATCATGCAAGCGCCACCTCCCAAGTCCAAGGCAGAGCTACAGGCTTTCCTGGGGCTATTGAACTTTTACCATTCCTTCCTGCCCCTCAAAGCCGCCATGGCTGAACCACTCCACCGCCTCCTGGACAAGTCTGCACCATGCATCTGGGGTCCGCCGCAGGCTGCTGCATTTCAGGCAGTCAAGAATCTGCTCATTTCAAATGCGGTCCTGGCGCATTTCGATGAGGCGCTTCCGGTGGTGCTGGCATGTGATGCTTCACCTTATGAGGTTGGGGTAGTCCTGGGCCACCGGCTGCCGGACAACCGTGAGGTCCCGGTAGCCTACTATTCCAGGACCCTATTGGCGGCAGAGCACAATTACGCACAGATAGATAAGCAGGCACTGGCTATAGTGGTGGGGGTAAAAAAAAATCACCATTTCCTGTATGGTCAGCCATTCACAATCCTTACGGACCATAAACCGCTCCTCGGTCTCCTGGCCCCTGACCGCCAAACCCTGCAGATGACGTCTCCCCGGGTACTCCGATGGTCTGTTTTTTTCACAGGATACTCCTACGCGCTTGTACATCGGCCCGGGAAAGTGATGGGGCATGCTGACACCATGAGCCGCCTTCCGCTGCCGTCTATGGAACCAGACCTGGCGCCTGCTCATCAGGTCACGCTTCTAGAGACTCTTTCCGATCAACCGGTGCACGTGCGAGAAGTGGCGCACCGCACGGCTAAAGATCCAGTCCTTTGCCGCGTCTTGGACTGGGTGAGAAGGGAGTGGCCTACGGCTCCTGGGGGGCAAACTTCATGGCCTTCGCATCCCACAGGGACGAGCTGTCGGCCCACAAAGGCTGCTTGATGTGGGGTGGCAGAGTGGTAATCCCAACCCCTTTAAGGGACCAAGTCCTCATGGCACTCCATGAGATGCACCCAGGGGTGGTCCAGATGAAAGCCCTGGCCAGAAGTTACATCTGGTGGTCATAGCTGGATCGGGACATCGAGGATCAGGTCAGGAGATGCCGGCCCTGCCACGAATCCCAACCCGAGCCTCCCAGGGCTTTCGCTAGAGCCTGGGAGTCATCACATAAGCCCTGGTCGCGGCTCCACTTGGACTTCGCTGGGCCATTCCAGGGTCAACTATTCTTCATACTCGTGGACGCGTACAGCAAGTGGCTCAAGGTCATTCTGGTACCGTCAGCGTCCTTGAGCACAGCCATCCAGGCCGTGTGGCACATCTTCGGTGCCCAGGGGATCCCCAACACCTTGGTCACCGACAACGGCACGGCCTTCACATTGAGCGAATTCCAGGATTTCACCCGCTACTATGGAATTTGCCACGTCAGATCGGCCCCGTTCCACCCCGCAACCAACAGCCAAGCCGAACGCATGGTTCGGACGACCAAGGATGCGCTCCGCCATTTGGATAGTAAGGACAGGGACTACAAGCTGGCTGCCTTCCTCTTTGGCTAGAGGACAACGTCCCACACCACGACAGGACACAGTCCAGCGGAGCTCCTTCTGGATCGGCGCCTGACGACCTGGCTGGATCGCCTTCATCCCGACTGGGCCACGGAAGAAGAACCCGCCACGGAATCACCCGAGGCGGCCAGAGGATTTCCCCCCGAGGACCCGGTCTATGCCCGAAACTATACACGGGGCCCGCCACGGATTCCCGCCTGAGTGGGGAGAGTCCGGGCCCCCCGATTGTATGAGGTTTCCAGCGAGGACGGCCAGATACTACACACCGCCACATCGACCAGCTGTGGCAGTGAGTATTGCCATATGACCCGGAGGACTGCGAGATCCCCGACACTTGGGAAGCGACCACCCCACCTCAGCCACGGGACACCCTTGCTGGACACGAGGAGATGCCTTCCGATTCCCCTGATGATAGCCCGGCCGCATTCCGAGAAGCAGGGCTACCAGTCACTCTCTCTTAGCCTTACCTACTTTTCAGGGTCATTGTGAGGATAAAATAAGGGCCCAAAGAACCACAGTATGATAATTAAAGTGTCATACAGTATCTATCTAATGTTATCCTGCAATTAAAGGCAGGTTGCTAAAAGTTCTACAGCATTAAGTACAAGAAACCAAATAAAATTACTTACCATGAGATGAGGCAGCTCCAGGAACATCTTCAGAACCTGCATAGTGTAGGAGAAAGAGTAACAAGAAAGTTCAGTGGGGTCATTTGGACATAATGCACTTTCCTGCATCCATCAAAAAAAAATAATGCTTTCCCACTATCCTTTCTTTTCTTGCTCCTGCCACTCCTTGTAATTAAGTAGATTCTTCTGATACAGATGAAACAAAGACAGGGATGCAGCCCATCTGCAGCCTAAAACGTCTGCTTTCACAAGCCCCACCAGGGCTATATTATACACTGGGGAGGGGGCTGCATGCCCCGTATTCCCTCCACAGAAAGAAAGAAACCTTCTCTTCCTTGGCAAGCCAATCCCTGCGCAGCTGCATTTGTGAAAAGAGAAGGGTGTTGCATAAAAATACACGCAAGAAGCCATCACCTATAGACAACCCCTAAGATAGGTGGTCATCATCTGTCTCTGGGTTCTGATAATGACCTGTTTGCCTGGCATGCTACAGCAGTCACTCATGCAAGCCCCGGTCTGAAACACAATAGCCTTGGTTAGCTAGCACAACCCCCCTGCAAATGGTGCTCTGTCTTAGCCATGAAACATCACCTGACCCTAGAGGTGAAAATGAGTCCCCCCATTTCCTGCTGGAGGTGATGGAGCCCCAATGAGGTGACTGGGCTCTATGCACCAAATCAGACCCCAGCAATCTACTACACCAGCCCATGGTATTTTGTCAACAGCGAAAGAAACTTGGCAACATACAACTAGCTGGAGTGTCAAAGGGACTTGGGTAAACACTCATCAAAGAGACTGATGAGTCTAACAGCGTAATCCTGATTTAGAAGGGTGCAACTCTGCTCAGCATTGTACTGCAAGACTGATCAGTCTCTTTGCCTTTCAGTATTTACCCAAGCCCCTTTGACACACTAAGACCCCTGCCACACGGGGGGGGGGGAATACGTGGCCAAAGTGTGGCTTTTGGAAGCCGCACCAAAATAGACACGCCGCGGCGGGATCACACTGATCCCCTGAGCCGCGGCACCGTTGCTCCCCGGCACGATCAAATGCCGGGGAGGAAGCCATGGTCAGGAGACCGAGGCAGCCAGCTGCGCATGCATCCGCATGCGCAGTTCGGCCAGGAGCCAGGGATGCGCTGGCAGAAGGATGCGCCGGCGATCCCACAGCTGTGCTTGCCACGGCCGTTCAGGTAAGACCACCTCAGTCAGTGATTCTTTTTTGCTGCGGGGTTTCCGGGGTTAGGGACGGGTTGGGGACGGGTGCGCGCCGCTTCCCAGATGTTACGGTGAGATCATGCCCGTTTGCTGCGGCCCCAATCCGTCCCTCTCCCGGGCCAAAACCCTCCGTGTGACCGGGACCTAGGTTAGCTGTGTGCTGCTCTGTGTAGCAACCAAAGATGTTCCCCTATAGGCCACCCCACACCTCATTGAGAACTAACCCATAGTTGTACAGCAGTAAAAAATATTCTTACCTCTCTGGACAATAGGTCCCAAATGCAAAACATAACCTGACTCAGCAGCAGCAGCTCGGCGACTCTCACCTCCTGAGCAACGCTACAGAAAAAGGTTGGAAGGGAACAGAGTCACTGTACCTTCACACTCCCTGAGTGGCCATTTATATTTCCAGTTATCATCCAAACTTACCGGTCTGCATTGTTCTGTGTGAGTGTCACAGAGACGACATTGGCAGTGGAGATAAACCAGGTTATGATTTCCAACAAATCTGAATACTTGAAGAGAAAACTTTGCATGCGATGCCACTCCGTTTTCTTCCACTGAAATCGTTGAATCCTTTGGATTTGGACAGCTGGAAATTCCGTGCAGATTGTTAGTGGAGTTCCCAGTTTTTCAAAAACCAATTTCTGTGTGCCCAAACTAGCTTTTACTGGCCGAGTGAAACTGATGCATATTAAATCTTTTATTATTAAGTCTTTTCTCCTCCTTAGCACATGCCAAGTGCACATGCTTGTGCTGATCAAACACGGCAAGAGTGCCAGCAAAACAAGCATACAATCACATACAGCAAGGTTGCTTTTTTGCAGACTTTGATCTGTGAGCACATGTGCATTGGTAAGATGGAGGAGGGACAGAAAATGCAAATCAATGGAAGGAACTTATCCCTGTGGCAAATGGTGCGTACTACCAATGCCAAGGATTAGTTGCAGAGAGGAAGAGAACCTGCGAAGTCTGCTCATCTGATTAGGAGAAATTGGGTCCAAGGACTACCTATGCCATGCGTCCCTATGTAGCATCGGGCAACTCACTGTTTCTTAGTTTCCCCTCTAATTTAGGGCACATTACAGGGAATTTGTTCAGCCCACTAGGGAAAGACACTACTGGAACTGAGCTAATGAAATACTCAAGCCAATAGCAGCTTGCTTATATCTCTGAGCAAGCTCTGTCTTCCAAAATCTGCCATGAAGTGTGCCTGTGCCCACCCAGTTCGTTTTTTGTAATTGTGCTCTGGGCCAGAATCAACCTTATCCTTTCGATTAAGGGGGCACATCGTCCTGACCAAGATATTTTGCCATCCTACCTGTTCTGAATGATGAAATACTTCAGAGAACCAGTGGTGTTTTTGGTGGGTGTTGCATAACAGCTGTCAAGCCGCAAAACGAACCGAGATGTGTCCCCACTTGTGACCATGACGCCGACATACAGGTGGTCTTCTGCTGACAACACCGCCGTGGGTCCCTCATAAGGAGAGGTGTAGTCTGAAGCTCTGTAGAGAGCCATTTTAACTGTAAAGAGTCCTGTGCCTCCCACACTGATGTTGATTGAGCTAGAAGGAGCAAATACAAGGTGTAATATTTTTTTAAGGACCTCAGCAGCTTGACCTACAATCGTCCCACGAACTTGCAAAGCTGCTGTACAGGCATACCTGTGGCCTCTTCTAGGGTCTCAGGCAGATACCTACTACTATTAGTTATATTTAAAACTTTTATTTACTTAGAAGGTGACAAGAAAGTAAAATGGTTTACAGCTCAACTCTGTGTCTCCTCAGAATTAAGGTCTACTGAGCTCAGTATGCTTAGAACTGCAGATGTAATGACAGCCACCAATCTCATAAGGGAAGTTATTTGACAGTCATATATACCTAAAACATTATAAACTTGTCAAGTAGTCCTGAGAAGAACTGTTTGATTGATTGATTGTTTGTAGAATAGGTTGCATAAAACCAAACTTTACAAATCACAATTTAGGACCACTTTAATCAAATGCAGTCCTAACCTGTGATTTCAAAGTGTTTTTATGTAACCTATTTTATGTATATTTTTAATATTTATACTGTACGCTGCCTTGAGCGCCATATGGAAGAAAGACACCTAATAAATAATATAAATAAAATTTAAATAAAATAAATATCCTATCCTAACAAAAAACCTGGAACCTTCTCTGGGTAAAGTGGATGCTCCCCTAATAAGCCATAGCCCTCCCCCCCCCCCCCCCCACCACCCCCACCCTAGTAGGCACTCACCCAAGGCTGGGAGAAGGAGCCTTAAATACGGTCTGGCATAATGAACAAAGCTTCTGTGTTTGATGGTGGACTCATAGCTTAAGCAAGATGTCGAGTTAATTTAAGTGGCAACTTGCCACTGGCAAGCATTGTGAAATGCACAGCCACCTTTCATGGAAATATTTATCACTGACTGACATTCTGCTTGTCAGACTCTGAAGTTCACTGACTTGCCCTTATTAACACGTGAATCTCTCACCTCAAGTGCAAAATAAACCTCCGTGCATGGGAGAGAGTCATGACTGTTCATTCTGTTTTCCTGTGGTTTTGCAATGGGGTCTTAAATTAAGCAGTTCCGATTTTTTTTTTAGAAAAAAAAACCAGGCAAAGTGCACGCTGGGTCACTGTCCAAGAAGCTGATTTTCAACTGTTAAAATATTTACTTAGGTAAGATAATATTCTTTTCACATTGATAGATGCTTGTGGAAATTCATAGTTCCCGTAAGGGAAATTCAACCCTATTTGTAAGTGGTGCAGTCTACCTGGAAGCAACGACAGTGGCAAAACTCCCGCCCACTTTAATGATGCTGAGACACACCCAGAAGTGGCCTGTTTAACAAATATGTTCTGTAACATCAAACAAGACCCAGCTCCAGGAGAATGCCATGGAAGGGGAGAGGGGGATTATCTACTCAATTTTCCTTCTAGTGTAAATTGAACCTGTGATTATTTGTTTCCTGCAGCTGGGGCCTCTTGGGTGAGGGTCTAGCAGTACAAACCTAGCCCACCCCACACCCTCACCAGTCAGTCCTCAATGCACATACTTGCAGTGTGAAGCCTCTATTCCTCAAGAAAGCTGATCTTTCATGGATAGAGGTTTTTCTGCAGCAAGTATGGGAAAGGAGCATTGGATGACTGGGTGTGATGAGGACAGCCTAAGACAGTGATGGCGAACCTTTTAGAGGCCGAGTGCCCAAACTGTGACCCAAAACCCACTTATTTATCGCAAAATGCCAACACGGCAATTTAGCCTGAATACTGAGGTTTTACTTTAGAAAAAACAACTCATACATTAACTTAAGATGATCCAAACAAAGTAAGGAAAGCAATCCCAAATGCTTTCATTTACTTAAAATTATTTGGCAGAGAATTCCACACTTTAATGACGGTCTGGGCCTGGCTGGGGCGATGGCACGCGTGCCCACAGAGAGGGCTCTGAGTGCCACCTCTGGCACCCGTGCCATAGGTTCGCCACCACTGGCCTAAGACAAGGGAAGACGGGAGTAAATGGAAAAGATAATAATGGTGGGAAAAGCTGAAGGCAGCAGGAAAAGAGGAAGACCCAACATGAGATGGATTGACTCAGTCAAAGAAGCCTGGGCCCTCAGTTTGCAAGACTGTTAAGGACAGGATGTTTTGGAGGTCATAAGTCATAGGGTCACCAGAAGTAAGAAGCAATTAACAGAATGTATAATACACATGCATGCATTGCATCAACTTAGGGTTGCCAGCCTCCAGGTGGGGGCCGGAGACCTGGAATTATGACTGATCTCCAGACTACCTAAATCGCTTATTATTTATTTATTTAAAACATTTATTCCACTTCTCCTGGAGACAATGGCTGCTTTGGAAGGGGGACTGCATGGCACTATATCCAGCCAAGGTCCCTTCCCTCCCAAAATCCCACTCTCCACCTTCATATTTCCAGGCATTTCTGAACTTGGAGTTGGCAACCCTACAAATCCACCAGAATCCTGGGGCACTTGGTGACCAATCAGATTTCTATCACTGGATCTCATTTACCTACCTTGTGGTCTCACACCCATCCACCCACCCACTTTTCTGCTATCAGTATAATGTGTTGGAGATGAACATACAAGAGCTGGTCCGGGTCTTGTGGTAGTAGCTCTAAGTATGATTAGTTCAGAAGAATAAATAATGGCATACCTTACGATAGGATGGATAGCTGTTGCCAGGCTGATTTCCATATCCAGTGGGTAGGAGCACTGGAAATTAATCTTGACTTCATCATCATCTCTAATGATAGTCCCGTTTCCCAAATATAGTGTGTTACTATAAGTAGCATGGGTGTCATTATTCTGTGGGAGGAAAAAAGTAGGTTAGCTCTTGACTTCAACAGAGTTATGTTTAAGATTGAGCAAAATATTTATGAATTATAAGTTCTGGCAGCTTTATAACTGCTACAACATCCAGTCAGCCAGAGATCATGCAGCAAACAGGATGAAATCACATGACTGCTTTGCCATTCTGATTTGCCTGATGATGACAACATAAAGCATATAGAGAGGGAACTCAGTGCTTCCTGCCTCACTCTGAATTGGCTTCATGAAGTTAGCACCTAGTCAATCAGATCATGCCTTGAAGCATTTACAGACAGAGGCAACACATTCACATCAATGTTCCCTCTAAGCTGTGGAGTCTTGTGAGCAAAAAATTCTACTTTGAGAGCGACTGGCATTAAAGTTGTGAGCGAGCGATTCAGCTGCTGCATCAATTAGTTTGCTCTGGAGCCATCCTTCCTGAGCTAAGACAAAAATGTGTGAGCCGGAGGCTAGAAAACTGTGAGCTAGCTCACACTACCTCAGCTTAGAGGGAACACTGGTTCACATATGAATCTGGAAAGTGCTTTCTGGTGTGGCACTAGCTTTTACATTGAACAGAGAACCTACTGTTAACTGTGTTCCGCATTGGCCACCTTGAGTGGGAGTCACCACTGAGATCACCGTTGTGTTCTTCTGCTCTTCAAAACCAGCACATCTGTCATCGTTCAAATACATGACCACATCCTGGAAGCCCAGTTTATTCAGGACGCACTTCTCAAATGAAACTTTAATTTGATTTGCTCCACACTCTAGTTGCGGCTCCAAGCTAGAAATATCTTAATAAGAATGATTATGAGGAAATAGGTGGTTAGTATTTATACAGTACTTCAGAGCAGCTTGCACTTAGGGTGTGATCACACTGGCAGCTTGGTGTGAAATGGTCTCTAATTGTACCAGTTTAAAATGTTGCTGGGCATATCATCCAGACAGCACACCCTGCTGTGGGTTACCCACGCGGCTGTCCCCTGGTCAAGCATCCACATTACTGCAGTGCCTCAGCCACGGAGCGCACTGCCCGGTCATTTTTAAATGCAGGTGGGTGTATATGTGCTTATGCGCATGTGCGCTCATGCATATATAGGCAAAAATGCCAAAAAAACACACACCAGCACTGGAAGCGGATCTGCATGTTCAGACCACCAGGCTATTTTGCTTGTGCTCCCCCTAGTTCAGACATCTGGCCATGCGCAATTAATGCATGAGGAACCAAAAACACCACTTGTGGTGTGGTGCCTTTTTCACTTGGCTCCAAGTCGTCCTACGATGCCTGGGGAACGCCTGACAGATGTGGCTGTGTGACTGCCCATTTAATCCGGAGGGGAGGGGTGGCTATGTCGGGTCAAATTGCTTGTGTGATCACACCCTTAGTGTGATATAGCAGCTAGAGTATGAGAGTAGGACTTGAGAGAGCCTTCAAGACCCCTCCCACCCCAAGGGTCCTGAAGGTACATACCAGAACTATTGAAATCTTGACTGCAGACACAACCCCAGACACCATTCACCAGCTGGCATTCCTCATCAACACCACACTGGGAACACGGGCTCCCACTGTAGTTGGGATCTGGAGGATTGAATGGATAAAGGGCAGAGCATGACATGATTCATGGGTATCTGTTACCAACCTCTTGCCCCCCCCAAAAAAGCAGCCTTCCCCAGAATAATTGCACACCACATACCTGTACAATAAGTCAAAGTACATGCTGGTGTCCCTTCCAGTTTGTAGACAAAATAGCCACCAATGCAGGCTTTCACCTGCACACTGGTAGACCATAGGCAGCATTGTTCATTCCAGTGGGCACAGGCAACACGACTTACAATTCCAGCATTCTGTTCAGGGTGCAATCCATTTAACCACATAGGTGCATCAGTGTTGCACCTATGCACTGGCACACAGGCTTCTGGCATGCGTTCTCCTCCCTGGCCGACAAACCGATACCACCCTTTTTTATCACTGTCACAGTTGGTTCCCGGCCCATAGGAGGTACTTCGCCAGGGCTCATCTAGAACTGTGTAACTTGAACAGGGATCCAAGCAAATGCGGGAGCTGTTTCTCCACACACATTCTTCAGCAAAGCCTGAGGAGATACAGAAATCCCAGCACTCTTGGTATGTCAAGATACATGAAAGGATTTGCAGTGCCCACCCCTTTCCAAAGATGTAGTCTCTTGCCTTAACCCACCCTGGAATGTATCAAGCTGCCTTACAGATGGAGATCAAAAGCACTGACGAGAGGAAGAACACACTTTTGCTCCCTCCCTAAAATGGCAGACTTATGCAACTCCATTTGGATCAGGGCCAAGCAGGGAACGGTGTGTGTGTTTCATTTATTCATTCAGAAATTGTATGCTGCCTCTCCAGAACCTGCTTGAGGCAACTCACAAGAAAATAACAGAACACTACTAATGAGCCAATAAAAACTTTAAACAAGTCAGATCTATAAAATCAGGTCTGTAAAAACCTGCCAGGGCATAAAAACAACATAACAATGAACAGATTGGTCCACACAGCTAAAAAGATAAGATCCCCTTAGTTTAACGCCTGGGTAAATAGATATGTTTTGGTCTGCGAGATAAAGGAAAGTAAGGTACTCCAGGGTGACACGCTGTTTACACTTCTATGGTCTTTACCAGAGAGATTGATAGAATTCCTAGATGGGGGCTGTGACAGCACTTCCCAGGTTTTGCCCAGAAATGATGTCATGGCACTGGTGCTCCCATTTTCCAGGGCTCTGTCCCTGGAAATCTCCCAGGGGCTGCCACATGGGGTGGGGAGGATTCTATGCTGGATCACCTAATCCTTGGAAGCAGTTTTTGAGGGGATCCAGTGGAAAAAGGAAGTGGCAGAGATCGCTTTAGTGTAGTGTTGCTAACCTCCAGGTTGTGCTGGAGATCTTCTATTACACCTGATCTCCAGGGGACAGAGATAAGCTCACCTGGAGAAAATGGCCAATTTGGAAGGTGGATTCTATGCAGGGGTCATTTTGTAGAAAAAGTGGTGCAGGAGCTCATTACCATAACTCATTAGCATAACTTATTTGCATATGCCACACCTCCTGACATCACCGGAAGTGTGTCAGAAGGCAACACCCACCGCTCAGGCGCCACTGGACTGTTTTGGATTGCTAGCTATTGGGGGGGGGGGGAAACGTGCAGATCTGTCCTCGCAGAGGAGGGAGAACTTGTACCTGAATATAACTTGGTCTTAAAGGTGCCACTGGACTGTTTTGGACCGGGGGGCCGGGGGAAGCTCTGCAACTTACCTGGCTGCTTCTTGCTCTGACTGAGGGCTGCTGGGAGCAGGGGGCGGGGCTTGTTGCATGTGCCCGCCCCCTGGGCTCTTTACTGCCGGAGCTCCGCTCCTGTGCGCTCCCGCAGGAAATAACCCCTGATTCTATGGCATTTTACCCCATTGAAGTTCCTCCCTTCCCCAAACCCCGCCCTCCTCACACTCCACCCCCAAAATCTCCAGGTGTTTCCCAAGCCAGAGCTGGCAACCCTACTTTAGTGGATCCAAGCTACACTGTTCTCTATTGAACTAAACTATTAGCCTCAAGATATTTAAGAATGTATATGGCATGCTTAATATGATATTGTCGTCATGGATTGAAAATTAGTAACATAAAATGGACAATTCATAGATCAAAGGTTTTTTTCTTTTTTACCATTATAATGATGCCATGTATTTGTAATTCAATTCTAGTCTCAGAAGAAGAGAGAAGAGACTGGATTTATACCCTGTTCTTCACTACCTGAAGGAGAGACAGAGTGGGTTATAATCTTTCCCTTCCCCTCCCCACAACAGACACCCTGTGAGGTAGGTGGGCCTGAGAGAGCTCTTTCGAGAACTGCTCCTGAGAGAACAGTTCTGAAATAACTTGTAACTGACCCAAGGTCACACCAGCAGCTGCATATGGAGGAGTGAGGAATCAAACCGGTTCTCCCAGATTAGAGTCCACGCTCCTAACCACTACACCAAAACTGGCTCTCTCAGGTGGGTAGCTGTATTGGTCTGAAGCAGCAGAGCAAAGTTTGAGTCCAGTGGCACCTTTAAGACCAACAAAGTTTTATTCCGGCTATAAGCTTTCGTGTGCATGCACACTTCTTCAGATACTTTGAAATAGAGTCACCAGTTATTACATAGAGGTAGCAGGTGAGGAGGATGTTGCCAGAAAGGGCCAATTAGAGCTAAAATTGGATTAAGGCAATTGGTAAGACCTGTGAATAGCAGCTGATTAGCATACAGCATAATAAATGTTTAAAAACAGATGCAGGAACTGAATGACATTAGCATGTGTATAGATTCAGGTGGGTAGCCGTGCTGGTCTAAAGCAACAGAACAAAGTTTGAATCCAGTGGCATCTTAGAGACCAGCAAGAATTAATTCTGGGTGTAATCTTTCCTGTGCATGCACACTTCTTCAGATACATGTGCAGTGAGATAAGAAACTGATATCTCTGTTATCTGATATCTCTATCAAGCCCTGGGGGTCCCATTGTCTCAAGTGTTGTAATAATGTTCCTTCTAAGCTGAGTTAGTGTGAGCTACCTCATAGTTTTGTAGCCTCTGGCTCACACATTTTTGTCCTGGCTCAGGAAGGAGGGCTCCAGAGCACACTAATTTATGCAGTAGCCAAATCGCTTGCTCACAATTTTAATGCCAGTAGCTCACAAAGTAGAATTTTTGCTCTCAAGACTCCACAGCTTAGAGGGAGCATAACTCAACAGTCTCCCACTCTAGTCCGTTTGTAGAATTCTTTTGCAATAAAACAGCTACTTTGAGGTCCCCCACTGAGTGTCCTGGGAGGCTGAAGTGTTCTCCTACAGGTTTCTTAGTTTTGTGGTTCTTGATGCCAGATTTGTGTCCATCTATCCTTTGGTGTAGGGCTTGACTTGTTTACTGGGTTAAACCTCATTTTTCTTCCCCTCGCAATCCCAAGGCAAACTGAGGTTCATAAGCCTGCAAATTCCATTTTAATGATAGACAGAGATGTAAGATCTCTGTCAAGTCTGTCTGATCTCTGCATCAGGGCATTCATCCATCTATTTTAGTACTACTGTTCTTGATCTGCAGTGATTCTCCAAGACCTGAAGCAAGGAAAGTCTTTTCCCGCAACTGCAACCCTTTAACTGCAGAACTTAAGGACTGAAGCTTCAGAAACTTCCATTAGTATGAGGCATTGCTTCTGATTTCCAGCATCACTGTTTGGGGGAGGGGGTTGTCGGGATTGGTGGGTGGGTTGGGAGCAAACTCCCAGCTGATGTGGGGAGCCCCTCCCTACCAGGAAATAGCACTGTATTCCGGAAAAGCTAGGACACAGGAATATTTCCTGTGGGAGTTGGTTTCTGAGAAATCAACCCTGACTGTTCCCTGGAAGGCCAGATAATGAAACTGAAGCTCAAATACTTTGGCCACCAAATGAGAAGGGAGCACTCACTGGAGAAGACCCTGATGCTGGGAAAGATTGAAGGTCAAAGAAGACGGGGACAGCAAAGGATGAGATGGTTAGACAATGTCACTGATGCAAGGAACATGAAGTTGAGCAAACTTCAGAGGACGGCGGAAGACAGGAGGGCTTGGCGGGAGCTGGTCCATGGGGTCGCAAAGAGTCGGACTCGACTGTGCGACTGAACAACAACAACTCCTTCTGCTTATGGTGCTTCAGCAAGAGGCGCAGACTCCCTGTTAATCCCTCCTGCCCATGAGCTGTTGGGTTCTGATCAGCAGAGCAACTACAAACCTGCTTGTGGTTTGGCAGGAACTGGACATGATATCCTCTTCACTGGCTCAGTGTGGCCGTATCGAACACAAGATGCTCAGATGGGGCTGTGGATCAGTGATATGGCAGCTGCTTATGTTAACCCCCAGACCTCTCCTCCCGCTGAGGGTACAGTGTGGCATCTAGACAGAGCAAGCCCAAGGGCCCTTCATTTTCATAAATCCCCAAAATCACACGTTCTGGGCACTACCTGGTCTGAAAATGAAACCAAGATGGTTCTGATGTCACGCAAAATGGATGCCAGCAAACACAGGCTCGAGACATGTCTGGGCAGCGATTCTGGAAAGTGTAATGTCAAGAGTTTTGACTGCTAACAACCCCATCCTCACCTTGAAACCATACACAATGGCAATTATGGGTCTCGGAGAAGACATTGTCTCACCTCAAACTAATCATTTCCCCACCTTGCCTGTCCTTTCCTGACCTATTTATCATAATTATTCACTACTCAAGACCTCTTAACACCTTTTACCCAATGCCAGAGGGTCCAACAACAGATGGTCATCAAGCAACCATTAGTTACAATCATGCAAAATATCATGAATTTCCCCAGGTCTTTGTTCATCCCTGGGAACAGCATTCAGCCTTTCCCCAACACATTATTTTACTTCCAGCTAATCCAATTATAGTATTGTTTTAGGGGCAATCACATCACCATGCCCTTAGGTAGCATTTTGCCCTATAACTGGACATACTAAGCCCATTGCGGTGTGTGTGTGTTCCTGGCACCCACTTGTATCGCACCCCCAAATCCTTTTGAGTTCCTTCCATCTCTGTGAAATGCTGTTTTGTTTCACAGCCTTTGTCACTGACTCTTCTCTCCTGGACTGGTAATTTCCCCCACAAAACTTCTTCTATTCCCTCTCCTTCTTTCATTTCCCTTAGCTAGTGTGCATGTTTTACCGTGTGTATTTATTTCTGTATATGTGCTTTATTTTATTACTTCTTCTTTCAATAAAAGGAACTTTTCTTGGTTAAGCCACAGCCTGGTTTATTTCTGAGACTTTCTCTATGGGAAAAATCCCCGTAAACTTTGGTGGAGATCTCTGCAGTTACCCTGCTCTCGCTAAACAAAAGGTCTCCTTAAGAGCTAAATTCCCCCAAATAATTGGGAGACCTCCCGTTTGGGTAACACTTGGCATGCAGAAGGGTCCAGGTAAAAGGATCAGGGAGCACATGGTGTGTCTGACACCTGGACAGTGACTGCCAGTCAGAAGAGAAAAGACAGACCTTGATTGAGAACTTGGGTTAAGGCACACCAGCAAGCGGACTATATTACCAAAAGCTGATTTGAAATCTCTGTATCTGTTCAAGCTTTACCAAATAAAATTGGGAAAATCACAAGTGGAAAACCTAAGCATGGGTGTTGTTAGCTGTTGGGAACCTATGTTCTTTGGCATATGTTACTTCTACAGCATGAAAAATAACTGTCATTTTAACAGATTTGCAGCAATGAGAAGAAGCTGGTTAAAGCAGAAAGTTAGCTCTTTACCTGGCATCATGGTGGTGTTCTGTGCAAAGGTGCACCAGTTAAAACCAAGTAAAAGCAAGACCAGATAAAAGTGATGCTCCATATTTAGCAGTAAAAAATGGGCACCACCCTGTAGCAAAAAAAGAAAAAGAAGAAAAGTAATTTCAAGCTGCAAAAAACATGACAAGCAGATTTTATTGCTTTACAATTTTCCATCAAACCCTCTTAGTACTATTGTGGCAGTGGAAAGGGCCATCAAGTCACAACTGACTTAGGTGACCCTGCAGGGTTTTCAAGGCAAGAGACCTTCTGAGGTGGTTTTGCCATTTCCTGCCTCTGCGTCACAACCCTGGTGTTCCTTGGAGGTCCCCCATCCAAATGCTAGGCAGGGCTGGCCCTGCTTAGCTTACAAGATCTGGCAAGGTCGGGCTTGCCTTTGCTATCCAGGTCAGGCATAACCACAGTTAGTGCTGTTAATTTTTCACCCTGGCTTTCAGTACAAAGGTGCCATTTTCTCTTTATTTTCAATTTACATACATAGTGAGCATTTAGAGCCCACCGGTTTTCTTTGCTGTTTTTTCCTCTTTGATCATTTTATTTACCCATTTTATGGCATTTGCATAGCATCTTATAAGGCGTTTTTACATTCTATGCCATTTATACACACATTACTCAAATAAAATTTACTACCAAGTTTCATTACTTTGGTTGAAAAAGACAACTACAACTCTGATCCAAGCATCAGACAACCATAAAAGAAACTCCACAGATCTCCTCAAGCCACAGAGTAGGCACAAAACTGATTAAGAGCTACGACTGTCTCTTTTTGTGTTTATGTGCCCGTGCCTGGAAGTCATGGGGACCTCTGGCGACTCCTACTGGGGCATGGAGGACATTCAGATAAGTGGCTGGTTAGCCTGCCTCCCGACCCTGGTATTCTTTGGAGGTCTCCCATCCAAATATTTGCCAGGGTTGGCCCTGCTTAGCTTTCAAGATCTGACAAGATTGGGCTTGCTTGGGCTATCCTGGGCAGGGCAGGACTGCTACTGTTTTTTGCATCCATTTGTTCATGTGGATTTCTCTCTGTACAGTGCACTAATTTTTCAACTTTATTTGTGTGTCAATAAATCAGCAAGCTACGAGCTGGGGGTCTGAAGGGAGGATTTTAAAAGATTTTTAAAAGACCTGAGGGCAGGAAATTAGTTTGGCTCTAGTTAATCTTGTGGTCTTATAGGCACAGGAAGAACTAGGGAGAGATTCTAAGGAGCTCTGTGTCATGGCTCATAATATGCCACCACAACCACGAGCTGGCTCTTTCTAGCATTTAAGGTTTGTACCCCAAAACAAAACTGGGGCACAGGTCACTCTTTGTACTACTGCCTCAATAGGACTGAGCCCTTTGACTTTTATTTATGCCAGCTTCTTTCTTGTGTCCTCTATATATGGCTCCCAGTAGCACCCACATATGATAGGACATAAATAGAACCCCCCCAGGTGCCTTATAGACACATCACTGTGGTCTTCCATATGAATCACTGTTGTGGGTAAAAACAGAGCCTATTCTCTGGGTATAAAAGGCCCCTGGGTTCAACCCCTGGTGTTTCCATATAAAGGACTTCCGGGAGCTGATGTTGGGCTCTGCCCAAGACTCTGGGAGAGCTAGGGAGGCCAGGGTCTGACTCAGAGGCTGATTCTGCATTGGCTTTTCCCTCCATTGTTTTACGAAACCCACGCTGGAACAGAAATTCCCCTCTATATTGCATGCTAGTTTCACTTCTTTTGATTATTGGGTTTTATGGTAGCTTCCACACTCCATGCCACTTTCAAGTTTTTCCATCGTTGGATTTTACTGTACCTTCTGCATAGATTTATGGCTGTTTTATGACCGTTTGGGGTGACTTTGCAGTCAGTACAGCGTTGCCCCGAGGTATCTGAATGTGGTTTTGAGCTACACTTTTCCCTCCTGGTTGAGAAAATGTGGAGCAAATGCTAGATGCAGAATCGCCCAGAGTCTGTGTTCACACACACTAAATAATCCACTTTCAAACTGGATTTTGCCAGTTCACACAATAAAAAATCCAGTTGAAAAGTGCACTGAAAGTGGATTATGTAGCATGCGTGACTGCAGCCAGAGTAACACAATTTTGTAGGTTCACAGAATCTAAAATATACTTCTACTTACCCAAAGCTGGAAAGAAGAGAAGATCTGAGACATAGGTTCATTTCCCCTTTATATAGACCTTTTAAGAGGAAGTTATTCTAAAGGTGTTTAATCAGCTTTATTTGTATTTCACTAAAGGAAAAGCTAACATGAGTGTACCTCTGTTTTCCTGGTTTTCTAGTTGCTTGAAATTGCCAAGAACACAAACATAAACATTGGAAAAAACAGAGACTTTGGGAAGGTGTCAGACAATGACTGAGGAGAACTGGGTTTGAATTTCACATTCTGCTCTGCAGCTTCCTGATTGACCTTGGGTCAGCTGTTCCCTCACTATCTAACCTACCTCAGAGAGCTGTTGTGAGGGGAGGGGAGGGCCATTCACACAGCTCTGAGCTTCTTGCAAGAAGGGCAGGATAAAAAAATCGATTGATAGGCACAATGATTAACACTTGGAATTCACTGCCACAGGAAGTGGTGGCGGCTACAAGCATGGACGGCTTCAAAAGGGAATTAGATAAGCATATGGAGCAGACAAGGTATAGCATATGGAGCCACAAGGTATAGATAGGGACTTTGGGGCAAATGATGCTCTGTCATCTTGGTGCTTGGGGGGGGGTCAACAGTGGGACGGCTTCTAATGTCCTGGCCCCACTGGTGGACCTCCTGATGGCACTGGTATTTCTGGCCACTGTGGGATACAGAGTGTTGGACTGGATGGGCCTTTGGCCTGATCCAACATTGGCATCTCTTATGTTCTTATGTTCTTAATACCACATTTAGCATGGCTGTTATTTGAAAATAAATGACCAAATGAAATTTTAAACCCCATTCAATCTTTATTTCAACATAAAAATGAATGTGATTCAAATGGCATTTGTTTCCATGCCATTTAGTTCTGGTGCCTTGCTACCTGGTTCAGAGTATTTGAAATAATTAGGGGAGATGAAACTGATAGGAAAGCTTCCCAGCAATCCCGTCAAACAGATCTTGCAGTGAAGAAGAATTCTGCAGGTAAATCTTTGTTTCTACCTATATCACAATCCTGGTTCAGTAGCTTGGGTAAGAGCAGACAATCGTCCACTCAGATTTGCTTTGAAAATGAACAACTGTGTTGTGTGAAAACAGAACATTCCACATAGCAAGTGTGTTAGGCAGGTTTAATTCCCTGACAGCAATGGAAAACATATAATATAAGAAAGTGGCAACTGAGAAACAGCACTTTAAATACCAAAAACATTATGTGGTTAAAGTTCATGGAAAATGGTGACTGGTTCAAAGTCAACCAGCCAGCTTCATGGCTGAGTGGGGATTCAAACTCAGTTCCACACCCCAAGTCACTTGCCTGCATCTCAAAGAGTCCATCCAAAGGCTTAGCTCTCATTGTGTTGAAGGACAACCAGCTGGCAAAATAGTTGAGGAGTAAGAAAACAGTTCCAAACAGACAAAATTAGCTCTAGCAGGACTGTGCCTGTTTTCCTGTCACAACTGGGATGGTTTTGCAATAGAGATATGAAATCTTGCTTTCTTTGATGTATTCCAATACATATTTAATACAATAATTAATAAAGGCCATAACCTGCAAAATAAAGTAACAGTAAGATCCTATCTGGCCTAAACCCATTTATTTATTTATTTATTTTATTTCACTTATACCCCGCCCAGTGTTCCCTCTAAGCTGAGTTAGTGTGAGCTAGCTCACAGTTTTTTAGCTCCTGGCTCACATACTTTTTGTCTTAGCACAGGAAGGATGGCTCCAGAGCAAACCAACCTATGCAGTAGCCAAACTGCTCGCTCACGACTTTAATGCCAGTTGTTCACAAAGTAGAATTTTTGCTCACAAGACTCCACAGCTTAGAGGGAGCATTGACCCCGCCCTCCCCGCAAGCGGGCTCAGGGCGGCTTTGACTTTACAACGCTCATGACAAAGGCCTTTTGCCCAAACCACCTTCTCAACAATGCCTCCATAAGAGAAGTCAGTAGGATTCAAAGATGCTAGTTAGCAAACAAGGCTGGAGACCAGGAGACCAGCTGAGCTCTGAGCAGGAGCAGGAGAGAGAGCTGTGAGAGAGGTGAGTGGGTTTCTTTTACTTGCTTTCAGCTGAGAGAATTCAACTAAGGATATTTTGTGGGAAAACTGTGTTTAGCAGTGTGTGGAAGCACTTAGAGTTCTTGCAGAGTCCTGGCTGATTGAGTGTGGGAGAAGAACGGGCATTGTTTGACTGGGATTGCCTGTAATTGAGAGGAAGTGGAAGGGGCATTGTTTTGCCTGTGATTGAGTGCCTGGGTGAATTTGAATAGCTGCTGCCTGACCTCTGCTGGGGGAGGCCTCTATTTAAGGAAGCACCTTGCCAGAGGCACGAGCCTCTGGCACGAGCCGAAGGGCGAGCTAAAGGGCTCTTTGCCTGTGGCTCTGTAAGAAGCCCAAAAAGAGCCAGAAAGACAAGGCCCTAGGCTCTTTGTCTTTCCCGTAAAATAATTTGACTTGATAACAAAACCCACATAAATACCAAGGGTTTAAAAGGGGGATTATATTTATTTATTTTAAAAGAATTATGAAGCCAGAATGCCAGCAGGGGGTTGGGGGCTATCCAGTGTTTTGCACGGAGTGTCACATGTATGACTATCTGCCCACTGGGCAGAAGTCTTGGGTGTGTCCTCGGTGCAAGGAGCTCCTGGTTCTCAGGGAACGTGTGTGCTCCCTTGAGGCCAAGGTGGCTGACCTGGAGAAGCAGAGACAGTCAGCTAGGCACACAGAAAAGACTCTCGGGGACTTGTTAGCTACGTCCCACTCTGGATCTGGCAGCCCCGCTGCTGTCAGGGAGCATGAGGGTCTAGGGGAAACAGGGCACCATGCTGAGGATAAGGGGAATGTGCCCTCAGAAGGGACCTCTTCCCCAGCTGGTGAGCGGCTCTCCTTTTGCACCAAGGAACCATCCCTGAGCAGGGTGGGAGGGGGGCTCTTGGTAGTGGGTGATTCGATCCTTAGGCAGGTAGACAGCTGGGTGGCGAACCCGCGTACTGACCGTATGGTGACTTGCCTGCCTGGTGCGAAGGTAGCGGACATTACGCGTGTTTTAGATAGGCTGGTAGATAGTGCTGGGGAGGAGCCAGTGGTCGTGGTGCATGTCGGCACCAACGATGTGGGGAAATGCAGTCGTGAGGTCCTGGAGGAGAAATTTAGGATGCTGGGCAGGAAACTTAGGTCCAGGACCTCCAAGGTAGCCTTCTCAGAAGTGTTACCTGTTCCACGCGCAGGGCCGGAGAGACAGGCAGAGATCAGGAGTCTCAATGCGTGGATGAGACGATGGTGTAGGGGGGAAGGGTTCAGGTTTGTTAGGCACTGGGATACTTTTTGGAACAAGAGGGAGCTGTACAGGCGAGACGGTCTCCACTTGTCCCGAGAAGGAACCAGGCTGCTGGCACTTAAAATCAAAAAGGTGGCAGAGCAGCTTTTAAACTGAATATTGGGGGAAAGCCGACAGGAGATGAAAAGTCTCTGGTTCGGGTTGGCTCATCTGAGAGAGGTGAGGGGGTACCGGTTGCTTTTCTACAGGGAGGTGGATTGAAATTGTCCACAGAGGCCATGGCTGGTGACATGGACTGCCGGACAACGACTCGAGATAGCAAGAGGAAGGATGCAGGCTTAACTTGTAAGGGAAATTACAGCTGTTTCTATACAAATGCTAGAAGTGTCCGAGGTAAAATCGGGGAGTTGGAGTGCTTGGTGTCGGAGGGAAAAATAGACATTGTGGGTATTTCTGAAACTTGGTGGGATGAGGAAAATCAGTGGGACACAGTGATTCCCGGTTATATATTATATCGGAAGGATAGGGGGGGAAGGGTTGGAGGTGGGGTAGCTCTGTATGTCAGAGAGGGTATAAAGTCTAGAAAGATTGAGAGGCTAAGTGAATTGGATTCGCTTCTGGAAGTTCTATGGGTTGAAATAGGGGGGCCAAAAGGAAACTTAACACTGGGAGTTTGTTATCGCCCACCAGATCAAAAGATAGAGGAGGATTATAAAATGATGAATGCCTTAAAGATAGCAACTAGACAAAAACACTGTGTAATAATAGGTGATTTTAACTACCCACACATTGATTGGGTCAATATGTGTTCTAGCCGGGAAAAAGAGATTGAGTTTCTAGACACTCTAAATGACTGTGCTATGGAGCAGATGGTCACGGAACCTACCAGGGGAGAGGCGATCCTTGATTTGGTCCTAAGTAACACTCAAGACCTGGTGAGAGATGTAAAAGTGATTGCACCGCTTGGAAACAGTGATCATAATGTTGTTGAGTTCATCATTTGTACAAATAGAGAATTGGCCAAAAAGACTCACACAACCATTTTTAACTTTAAAAGGGGTAATTTCTCTGATATGAGGGGACACGTGGGGAGGAAACTGAAAGGAAAAGTAGAAAGGGTCAAAACAATTGGGGAAGCTTGGGATCTATTTAAAACTACGATCCTAGAAGCTCAAAAAATATATATTCCGCAGGTTAGGAAAGGCACAAACAGGTATAGGAAAAAGCCTGCATGGTTAACAAACAGAGTAATGGAGGCTGTAAAAAGTAAAAAGAATTCCTTTAAGCAGTGGAAAGCTAGTCACAGTGAGGCTGATAAAACGGAACACAGGCTATGGCAAATAAAATGCAAGTCTGAGGTCAGGCAGGCAAAAAGGGAATATGAGGAGCATATAGCAAAAAACGTAAAAACCAACAATAAAACTTTCTTCAAATACATTAGAAACAGGAAACCAGCCAGGGAGGCAGTGGGGCCCTTGGACGACCAAGGGGTAAAAGGAGTATTGAAGGATGATAGGGAAATGGCTGAGAAGCTAAATGCATTTTTTGCCTCCGTCTTCACTGTGGAAGATGAGAAGTGCTTGCCCACTCCAGAACCACTGATTTCAGGAGGGGTGTTGAAAGACCTGAGTCAGATTGAGGTGACGAGAGAGGAGGTCCTAAAACTGATAGACAACTTAAAAACTGAAAAATCACCAGGCCCAGATGGCATACATCCGAGAGTTCTGAAAGAACTCAAATGTGAACTTGTAGATCTCCTGACAAAGATATGTAATCTTTCCTTAAAATCTGCCTCCATTCCTGAGGATTGGAAGGTAGCTAATGTCACTCCCATCTTTAAAAAGGGTTCCAGAGGAGATCCGGGAAATTACAGGCCAGTCAGTCTGACGTCGATACCGGGTAAATTGGTGGAAACCATTATTAAGGAAAGAATTAGTAGGCACATAGATGAACAAAACCTATTGAGGCAGACTCAGCACGGTTTCTGTAAGGGAAGATCTTGTCTCACTAACCTGTTAGTGTTCTTTGAGGGGGTGAACAAACATGTGGACAAGGGGGATCCAATAGATATTATTTACCTTGACTTCCAGAAAGCTTTTGATAAAGTTCCTCATCAAAGGCTCCTAAGTAAGCTCAAAAATCATGGGATAGAAGGACAAGTCCTTTTATGGATCAAAAACTGGCTAGTTCATAGAAAACAGAGAGTGAGTGTAGGTGGGCAATTTTCTCAGTGGAGGGTGGTAAGCAGTGGGGTACCGCAGGGATCAGTACTTGGTCCACTGCTTTTTAACTTGTTCATTAATGATTTGGAGATGGGAGTAAGCAGTGAAGTGGCTAAATTTGCGGATGATACAAAGTTGTTCAGGGTGGTGAAAACCAGTGAGGATTGTGAGGCACTCCAAGGGGATCTGTCAAGGATGGGCGAGTGGGCGTCAACATGGCAAATGGGGTTCAATGTGGCCAAGTGCAAGGTGATGCACATTGGAGCCAAAAATCCTAAATATAAATACACATTGATGGGGTCTGAACTGGCAGAGACTGAGCAAGAGAGAGATCTTGGAGTTGTAGTGGATAACTCACTGAAAATGTCGAGACAGTGTGTGACTGCAATAAAGAAGGCCAATGCTATGCTGGGGATTATTAGGAAGGGTATTGAAAACAGATCAGCCAATATAATAATGCCCCTATATAAATCAATGGTGAGACCTCATTTGGAATACTGTGTGCAGTTCTGGGCACCACACCTTAAAAAGGATATTATAGCTTTGGAAAAAGTGCAGAAAAGGGCAACTCGAATGATAAAAGGGTTGGAACACTTTCCCTATGAGGAAAGGTTAAAGCGCTTAGGGCTCTTTAGCTTGGAGAAAAGACGACTGAGGGGTGACATGATCGAGGTTTATAAGATTATGCATGGGAAAGAGCAGGTAAAGAAAGAGGTACTTTTCTCCCTTTCTCACAATACAAGAACTCGTGGACACTCCATGAAACTGCAGAGCGGTCGGGTTAGAACGGATAAAAGGAAGTACTTCTTCACCCAAAGAGTGATTAACACATGGAATTCACTGCCACAGGAAGT